GTGAGTGGTGTTACGACCTGCCTCTGAAATACTGATAGACGAGACCGTGAGTGGTGTTACGACCTGCCTCTGAGCGTCTCGAATATCCCTAACCGTCTGCTGAGTTTTTGCCCTGGTCTCCCTTATATATGGTTAACCGTCAAGAGTGGTGACTGAGGAGGTGGTGACTTCCGATGACCTAAAGGAGCTCTCTAAATTAAATGTATTATTCAGTTGGGTGCCTTTCCTGCAATTTCATCGGTTCTAAGAATTACAAGACGTGTGATCAAGTCTTGATTGTCATATTAAATAGTACAATGTTAACACTATCGTTTACTCATCATTTCTGAGAAGTCCAGGACGTGTGATCATGTCTTATTCATTATATTAAATATCACGATGTGCAGGTGATCGCCATAGCCGTTCGATACTACACTGTTTGAATATGTTATTCCATCGGTATACACATCACCTCTTCGTATAATATATATGTGTAAAATAACACGGTACGTAACAATATTATGATATTTTAATAATCACACAATCACACAGTTGATATTGTCTTATTAATTATTGTAATAATATTATATTGTAATCACTTAAATTAGTTGAAGTTGTTTAACTGTTTAAGTTGTTATGCATTTCTTTATTTTTTATATTTTAATACAGTTGTTAATAATATAAACAAAATAAACATGACTGCACGAAGTAGAGTACAGAAGCTTGTGGAAATGGCCAAAGCACAATATCCAAAAGCCACCAAAGAAACTGTTGTAAGTACCTGCCTATCTACTATTGTTAAAATTGTAAAATTAAAATACTATACTTATTAAGATATTATTTAAAATACCTAGTATACCGATAATCGTAATATTATTATTTATTATAATGTTAATTGTTAATCAAAGTAAATCATAAGTACCTAAATGTTATTATTATTAATGTAGGTATAATATTTTTATACAATAGGTAGGTACATAAAATATAATCTAAAAATTTATATTTTATAATAATGTAATACAAAATTTACTATATAATTATATTTAGATAAGTCTTAATTTATTTATTTTTTTTTTATTGCTAGGCCACTACATTGAGTTACACTAGTTACAGTATTGATGAAACACCAATTCCTAGCATTGAAGAAATTGATAAATTGCTTTTGGAATTTGAAGTAAGTATTTCAAACAATGTTATTCAGTAATATTCTAATATTATTATTCTTTATCAATTATAATTTATGTAGGACAATATTATTCCTCATGGTGTATCTGCAGACATTGATGGTAATGTTTCAACATTTCAAGAAACACTAAACAACATTAATTTATTTGAATTACTCGATGATGAACCAACATATTTATATAATTATGAACCTGAACCTGCTGAATTAATACATCAAGTAGAACCAACTGAAAATGAAAATTGTATTATAGAAAAAAACAATTGTATTCAATTAGGCCAAATAGAAAATGAAAATCTGAATGAAGATCCTCAAGTAGAACCAACTGAAAATGAAAACAGTATTGTGGACAAATACCATTGCATTCAATTAGACCAAACAGAAATTGAAAATCTGAATGAAAATCCTCAAGTCGTACTAACCAAAAAACGTACCAGAAACCCAGATAATTGGAAAAGAAATATAAAAAAGTTAGCAAAAAATAAAGGTGAAGAGTATGT